CACGATCCAAATAGTAACTCGGAAATACGCTTACACGGAGCTGCAGAGGTCAAGAGAGACTTTCCTCATCTCGCGGGGCGGGAAATTCACGGCTCTCACCGCCAGCAGTGAGTTTACCGACGTCCTGAACCAAACGTACCAGTGAGCCCACAGGGTAAGGACCGAAGGCTGGGGCGCAGAAGTGTCCTGGTGGGGCGATAGTGGTGGCCTGACGACAGGGAGTAAGGCGGCCAGGTTATGAGACGCACCCTCGAGAAAGGTGGCCGCACGCTGGAAAGACCAGGGCTGACACGGCGATGGTACTCAATAACAGCGGGGCCGGGTCGATCGCCACCGGCGGCCAGAACAGGATCCTAAATATCCGATCCCACTAGGAGCTACGGTGACGGTAGGAATGCCCTCATCGGCGGATCAAACAAAAGTCCAAAGCCACGTAGGGTACGCGGGCGATTGGTCACGGCCATCAGCATTATCGGGTCCCTGCCTGACCGCCGGATCCTTGTTACGGGGAGTCAATGGAAGAAGGGCGCTTGGAGGGTGGGCACGTTCACGTCATGGCCTTTATATGGCTGGCTATCTAATGAATGATGTTAACTCGTTTGCAGTGCATTCTCCCGCTTGTGCGGTCCACCAGAATCGCCCCACGTCCTGGACTCCCCTGGAAAGAGCCATGGTGGTAGGTTGCGCAGGGAAGGAGAGGGGAATCGTAACAATCGGGAATGAAGCTGGGAAGGTTAAGGTCTTAGAGATATAGTCTTACTTGACTGAACAAAGTTTATGGTTACAGATTATGCAGAAATATAGTACTTGTATTATAACTGCCAAAAAAATCCGTAGTAAGTATAACCCCTTTATTCGCCCAGGTTTCCGACCTTGGCACAGGCGAGCATAGCCTTGAACTTCCGCTTTCCCGTGTGCTCCCTTACATTGCCGAATCAGAGACGATGGATCGGTGAGCACGGGAGGGGCGCGGGAACATTCTTGGACCCGGCCACCCATACACCCTAACAACTTTCAGCGACCTGGCTACGGTGCTCTGATGCCGGGAAAAATGTAATTAATCAGAGGCATGGCATCGGCTGGCACAGGAAGGACACGAGAAGATTCCCGGACCCGACCACCCAAAACCCGATTCAGCGCCAACTGCCTTGCTGCGGTGCTGCGTCTCCGGTGGGAATGGGGTGAGGTTTAGAGACAATAAGGCAGCGCGCGCGGCGGGCACTCCGGAGGAACATAAGCGATATGCGGCCGTGATTTTTTCGCCCTGTTACCAGTTATTTGCGTCGCACTTCAGCCCTCCACATGGGAGATAGGCGGACAAAACGATGTACCGGATTGCCAGCCGTTTTTCAGGACTATAGCGACAAGAGTGGGCTACTAGTTTCTACCGGCGTGGGAGACCCTGGGAACTACGAGGGGGGTGGTAGAGCATGCCGGACTAGCCATAATAACGAACTGGAGTCCTCGAGTGGCAAGCCATTGAAGTGCAGCATGGAAAAAATGTATGTAATGTTCGGCGTCTTCGCATCCTTTTCGCAGCGATATTGATTGATGTTTAATAGAAAACGACGTCGCTTGCATTCTCACTCTGCAAACTGCCTGCAGTCCTTCCTGCACCCCCGATGGTCACAGGATATCACTCGCATTTGCTAATCCTGCTAGTGTTAGAGCATCCTTTCATATACGGTATCGGTATTGTGAATAGCATGAGTTGGGGGAAGGGCTGGCATGGACATGGAAACCCGCGGTGTCCTAAACTGCACGGCTGCACGGCTGCACATGCACATTTTCTCTGCAGTTTGCCTATTGGCATCTGAACTGACTTTGCGAGCACATCTCGGGCCTTGCATCCTGGTACTAGTACCATTTTTCACCTTCCCATTAAATTTCCCTCAGATACTCCTACCGCCCTCCTGCGTGCTGACCCAGCCAGGCTAGTTTTCATAGCCCTCATGGGACTACATGTATGGACACTATGGTGCAGTAGTATTGTGTTGGGCTTCACTATCACGATGGCATGCGTCAGCTCGGATTCCGGATATCTGATCGACTTTTAAGCTAGGGTCAAGCGCTTCTTTCATGGAGATAGGGGGGCCTCCCATAGATAAAAAAAGCTGGCGAGAGGCCAAGTGTTCTTCCAAGGATCTGCCAAACAACCCGATTCGTGTATCGGCATCATTTAGTAGGCTCCGGTTTGTTCATGGGGGCTCCAGCGCTTTGGGTACTAGTGTTCCAAGATTCACGGTGGCCGGTGGGGTGCGGTTGGGTCGTGGTTGTCAGCCTACAGTATCGTCTCATGTATTCTTCGGGGGAACGTGACATGCACCATGCGCCGGTCACACCCTTAGCGAGTCACGGTCCAAATCACTGCCAAAGTGTAACCATCTGCCGGCAAACCTCCCAAAGTACTAGGGAGCTAGGTTTGGGGTTCCGGTACCGTGCTGTTTGTTTTGAGTCCATTCCCATCTTAAAGACTACCCCGACGCACTACTCGTCTAATACCCATTCTACACCCTTGCGCCCGACACTTGGACTTCGCCTAACTCCCATAGCCTGCCTGAGCTAGGATTACATCCCATAACTGCCTCAAAATAGAGAATTATCCATCTCCCTATCTCGGATTTGGCCCTTGGCTACCAGTTCCACTGTATCTTCCCCCCTTTATAGCCTAGTTCCAGGGCTTGCAAAATAATTTTCAACTCTCGTGCCCCGATTGGCGACAAATATGCTACCCTCTCCGGTTCAGATACGCTAGCGACATATTTGCCCTTCTCTACCCAATCTATGAAAAGGGAACCACAGTGAGCTGAACACTCGAACTCTTGGTGGATTGGCCGGCACCCCGACCCTTCAATATCTATGATTCCAGAAGTGATGGGCACCCGTCTAATAATCCTCCTGGGGAGACCCATGTCAATATCAGAGGAGACCATAACAGGAAGTCTCGTGATCATAATGTTTTTGGTAGTAGCAATAATGATCGCATAAACACGGGAACCCTGAACAAGGTTTCCAATTCCGTGCAGATATATCAAGGGTGTGTGTTTCGAGGTGGGTCCAATGCACTATTAGAAATAGAAGAAGCATCTAGGCCTTATTGGATAAATTCCTATCGCACAAACACCAAGTCCGCTGGGAGTACAGATCTTATTGAGTCAGTAAACGGACCTTCAGCCGTAATCGCCGCAACCAGATCGCACTGTGTGGATTAGGCGGTTCTAGGCATAGACCTATTATTGTTATTTCGGCGCTTACTAATTTAACCTTGATTAAAAAACTGAGATTACCCTCGAATATGTTTATCACAGCGCAATGGACAGTGGTTGCGATATGTTCCGGCTCCAGGGGAGTGGGGTATTAAGATTGAATGAGGCTCTCAGAGCTATTGCACAATGTTTTTGAATTACACGACCCAGCGCGTGGAAAAAGACCAAGCGGAATTCCTATTAAATGTCAAGAGGTGGGCCAAAGGCCCAGACAGTGGCGATTGGATACCAGTTATTGAACGTTTGACAACGAGGAGCACTTTACCGGCAATAGTGGCCCCACCTCCAAATTTCTCCCACCAGGGCGTCATGGTAGTCTAACATTGACCATCGGAACACTCTGGGGTGCACCTTGTCAGATCTGCAGAAGGATCGATGTCGGAAACTTGGAGGAGGGTGGAAAAATTCGAGAAATGAAGAGGGAGAGGCGATTAGAATGGTCCTGAGCTCCATCCATCACATTCCTCCGGCTATGCGAGGTGCGGCATCCTTCATGACTAAAACCCAGGCACCGCCATCCACTTATTAGACTATTTTCCGGGGAGGCGACGCACACGCGAAAAGGCTACTTTCAGATCCGCTTTGTGATGTCCAATGAGCGGTAGATATGCCCGAAAGAATCTTTGCTCCGTGCCTTGTCACTGTACCCAAATCACAGAGCAGATGTCCCTAGCGGCAGATCCTCTGCATCTGGTTGTGTTCTCGAGTCGTCAGAACCTACCCGGAGAACTAATGAGTCAGAGTAGTTTAGAGGGGATAGAGGACCCAGTTCAGTTTCGTCAGGCCATTGGAGAACCATTTGGATTTTCGCTAGCTGCGGCTGTCGAATTTATGGAGAAATTTTATGAGCTTCATTGATTGGTGCAACTGTGTCCACCAGTGTATTAGGTTTTAGCGACTGAAGGGTTGAATCGGTTGAGGGCTGCTGCCCCGAAAGTGGCTCTAAGGCTGTTCTCTCGCCATTGGAACACGCGGAGATATATTATAATTGTTGTGCATAAATTTACATTCCACATATACTTGTGGTAACCAAATGTCAAGGGATCTCGATTGCGAAGAGCTACGTTTTCGCCTGGGATAGCATTTCTACATACGAGTTCCTACAAGCGCACAGAAATTCAATGGCGTCGATGAATTGTACTGCGAGAAGACTGTAACAAGTGTGGCTGGAAGAACAGTGGATAGAGGAGGGTTATCTTCCAAGGGGGAGCAGGTATCAAGGAAAGGCGCAAGTGGCCGAGAAGATACTTCGGAGTTTATTAGAGGATATTAAGGAATCATTTGGCCCGAAATAGCCCCACCATCCTGCAAACCATCCACCACCTGGTGGCTATGGCGCTACCATACAGAGGGAAGTATCATACGATGAATCAGAGACTGTGAATCAGCGCGTACTAGAGAAGGGCAAGAAGATTCCTGGCCCTGACAACCCAGACACCTCGCCAAGTGCAAACAACTCGACTACGGTGCTGTGGTTACAAGAAGCGTCTGCCGAGTCAAAGACAACAAGGCGGTGTCCACGGCGGATGCTGCTAAGTGTTGGAAATCGTGAGGCGCTGCTCGGCACGCTCTCAGAATTGTATTTGAATTTTCGGCGGTGTCTTGAAAGGAACGAGTGACTATATGTGACCGCCAGGAAACGCCAAGTGCTTACTAAAGAACGATCGCACAACTAGGTGAACGGGGAAAACAAAACTCTTCACTATACTAACACACCCTCCCCCTCTATTCCCCGCTCACTATTGCGCGCAACCACCTAACATCAACTAACGGTAGGGACAGGAGTATATATCATGACAGCGATAAACGACAAACCTACAAACCAAGTCCTCCGGTCCTCCCCCCCCAGGTAAGTCCCCCACATACTAGCAAACACAAGCTAACAAAAGAACAAACTTCACGATGCTCTCCAATCTTTCTCGCTTAGTCTTTCTATCCTCCCCAACTCGCAAACAAACCGCTAACAAAGGAAAGACGGACTTGACCGCCACCTTCCTTCCAGCCCCCACTGTCTCCACGCTGTCCTTGCGCACCGTCCTTTTGTGCCTGCGCTGCCTCCACGCTCCTCCTCCTGCACGCTCCTTTCCTTCCGCGCCTCCCGGCGGATTCCGAACCCTGTGCGGCCGAAGCCAGAGTGCGCCCGGAACTAAAGCACGCTCCCGGAAACTAATAAAGGAAAGCTAACTAGAGTGTGAGCAGAGAAACCACTTCGCGAATGAACGAAACAAACAAACAGTGGAGGAAAGGAACGGGGGAAGGGGGGTGGTGGTAGGAGAAGGTACGAGTATGCCGAGCAGCATCTCGGGATTTCCAACAGCTTGTTCGTCTGTTTGCCCGGGTAGTCTCTGAGAGTGAGTTTTGGTTTCGGGTGCACTCTGGCTTCGGGTGCGCTCTGGTTTCCGCCCGCGCAGTTTGGCTTTTGGGCAAAGCACTTCGGCCGCGGGAATGCACGGGAGTCCCGGAGCAGTGTATCCACTGGAAGGAAAACGAAAAGGCCATGAGGAATACCGGAGGCTATGGACAACAGGAGTTGGTCTTTCCTTTGTTCGCACGGGAGTCACAGAAAGCAGAAGGGGTCACATGAGCAATAGTGGGGATAAGCGTGGTAGTCCATGGAGGGATAGAATGACTTTGTTTGTTGTTATGCCATTGAGAGATGCTCCTGTCTTTACCGTTAGCTAGTTGAGCGCGATAGATGGAGAAGACGGAGAAAAGAGGTTTTCTCCGCTCGCGAGTTGTGTAATCGTTTTCGTGTGTGAGGTCTTGGCGTTTTGTTTTGTGGTGTTCGTTGTGCGCTATTGCCGCCGTTCCGCCGCTTCGTCTACTCGAGTATCATTCGGCCGTCCTTTTCCCTGTCGCTATAACCTAGGCCGATCCGACGTTTAAAGCCAACAGACCATCTGTGTTAAGACAATGCACGGAGGGCTTTCACATAGTGAGTTTTGCGGATTTAGACATCACTTTCCACGCTTGAAACTAGATAAGTATTTTCTCCATTTATTCTGTTACCACCTACGGAGGCCTGGGCAATACCGGTAGGTCATGTTGGTGGAAATTGATAGAAAAGTGATTAATAAGTTCTCAGGAGATCTCCTCCCGCTTAGTATACCTGTGGGAGTTATTGTTAGTAGTGATATCGCTCGCACTGGATCCTAGTACCTGTGTCGTGACCAGTATTTTAGGTGGTGCAAATCGTCTACAGTACTCGAGTATGATACAAGGCGTTTTTTTTCTGTTGAAAAATGTGCCAATCCTTGCCCCATAGGTAATGGTGTCAGAGTTCCGCCAAGAAGGGTGCAGGGATTTCGCGCTTGGGGCGTACCTCCTCTCTGCATACTGCCTAGAAGGTAACTAGCGGTGCAGAGCTGAATATGTAAGCCGGAGCAGAGACAAAGGCTTTGCCCACGCGCACTCACGAAACAAGAACCCAAAAGAAAAAAAAAGTGGGTATTTCCCATGGGAACCCAGAAAGACCTGGGGTTTGGAAAAAAAAATCCAGCTCACGGGCCACTTTCATGCTAGAAAAAAAAAAAATGCGTTTTCTAGATTCCTAGATTGTGATCACGATAGTAAAAATGAAATTACACAATATCATACATCTCAATCATCAAAATTGGAAAGTCATTGCGGAGATCGCATCCCACGGTACGAATAGCTCGTCAGTTCTGAATTTTGAAAGATTCTGGAATAATGGCTAGGTTGTGGAGGGCTGTGGTCTTGTGACAAGTTGATTCACTTGCCATTTACTCGCACCGGTGTACCGGTAGTACAGGATCGTAGTCATCCCAGCCTCGTGCGACCTTCGATACCGCCTCCCACTTGCGCCACTTCCGTTGGGAATTCCCACACATGCGGCGTCCGTAGCCTTTGTGCAGGCTGACGTAGGCCGGCCCGGCCCCCAGGGCCCCACGAAACCATTATCGGTACCTCGTACGAGTACCGTCGGCGTGTTGTGTCTCGCCTCTTTATCTGCCCTCATGCGCCGGCTCGGATCTCGGATTTCAGATGTCTGTGTTGTGAGGTGAAATGATGCGAGAAATGAAGCCGGCAACTTCCGAGCATGGGTCAAACAACTCTATTTTTATACGGTATTGCCAGTATTTGGCGGGCGCAAATCTGTATTCTCGGGAGCTCCACCCGATAGAGCACTGTACTGGTACCCCTATCTCAAAGTACACAGCTATCATAGGGTGTGGGAAAATACTTTTGTATTCAGGGGGTCGTGGTCACCTTATCGTCTCGTGAACGAGGATTTCTTGTGGGGTAAACAGGCACACACCAAATACCGGCCACTGCCGAAGCTATGACCAAAGTCCGATCAACTGTAGGGACATCACCTAAACTAAATTTAGAAGGGAGTTATAATAGCTATGTAGTCACAATGCCCATTGTTTTTTTCCCTCACTCCTCTACCCCGCCCGAGCAGCTAAACGGGGGTTGATCTTCCGGACTGCCTTGTGACGCTGTCTCTCTGACACCTATCCCGCACCGTGTTCATAAATTATTAGGCTTTACCGAATTCGAACTACCAGGGATAATATTCCTCCCATAACCCCCTCAAAACTAGACAGTTATTTATCTCCATATCCAAGGTATGATAGGGTCCCCGGCTACACATTTTGGAAAACCATCTCTAGTGGTATTGACTTGTTTCAGGGCTAACAAAACCATTTTGAACTGGCTCCGTTGGCAACGTATAGGCTACCCCTCCTGTTTTAGATACGCTCGCCACATCTGATTCCTTTTCTACTCGACCTGCGAAAACAGCCCGACAGAGACCTAAATAATTGAGCACTCGATGGATCGGTGGGGTCCCCTTCCCTCCAAGGTCTATGCTTTCGAAAATAAGCAGCACCCGTCTAATAATCCTCCTAGAAAAACACAAGGCGATATTAGCGGAGACTTTAGTGGGAATTCAGGGAGTCACAACGTTTCGGGCAGCCATAATAATAATCGCATAAACACGAGAAACCTACACATTACCAATATCGGGCAGGTAAATCACCAGTATGGGCTAAGGGCAGAGGATAGAGGTATTACCAGCTTTCCTGGGAGATTTCAGGCAAAGATCTAATGCGCTACCACAACTAGAAGAAGAACCTAGACCTTATCGGATAATCCCCTATTGCAGAAATAGCAGGTTTACAGGCCGGAAAGATCTCCTTGAGGCGATAAAAAGGCTCGCCCAAGGGACCGCCCACAACCGGATCGCACTTCATGGACTGGGCGGTTCTGGGTATGCACTCTTCATTGGTATTTCAGGGGTTTTCTAACGCTACTTAGAAAGACTCAAATTGCCCTCGAATTCGTTTATCGGTGCGCAAGCGAGAGAGACTGTGATGTTTACTGGGTGCACGGAGGTGGGGTGCAAAAGTTTAGAGAGGGTTTCACAGCTATTGCGCAACATGTTCGAATTCCGCTACCCGGCGCCGAGACGGACCAAGAGGGATTCCTGTTAAACATAAGGAGGTGGTTTGAAGGTCTAGCCAGCGGTGATTGGATACTGGTTATTGACAATGCCGACAACGAGGAGGACTTCACCGGCAACAGTGGACCCATTTCTAGATTCGTACCACAGGGGTCTCGGGGTACTCTTATATTCACCACCCGATCTCTCCGGGTTGCATCCTGGCAAGGTTGCGAAAGAATAGATATTGGAAAGATGGAGGAGGATGAGGCGCGAGCCTTTTTCTCAAGACGCTTTTGTAGCCCGGGCAGTTTGAATGAGGAAGAAAAAGAGGCCATCACACGGATCCTAGAATCCGTACATCACATCCCACTGGCTATCGTTGGTGCAGCGGCCTTCATGACAGAAACCCAAACACCGCCATCCACTTACTGGGCCATTTTCCAAGAAAGCGACGACCGAGCCAAGAGTCTCCTTGCACAACCATTTTGGGACATCCAACGAGAGGCGGATGTAACTGAAAGCACCCTTGCGACGTACTTTGTTACTTTTGACCAGATCACCCGGCAGATGCCCTTAGCTGCCAATCTTCTGCGCCTAATCGTCTGCTTCGATCGCCAGAACATACCCGAACAGCTACTGACCCAAAGTGGTTTGGAAGGGATGGATGACCCAGTTCAGTTTCGTCAGGCCATTGGAAATCTATTGGGATTTTCACTAGTTACTGCAGTCAAATGTGAAGACAAGACATTTTACGAGCTGCACCGTTTGGTCCAACTGTCTTTACAAGTCTATTTACCAACCGCAGAGTTAAAGTTGTGGAGGGCCACTGCGCTGAAAGTGGTTTCAAGCTTATTCCTTCCGGATGAGAATACGAGGAGATATGCTGGTTCTGCATACATTCCCCATGCAATTGTAGTAACCAAAGATTCAACTGATCCCATCGCTGAAGAGGTTTGTTCCCGCCTGGGAGACTACTTTGACGAGATTGGTTCCTACAACGATGCAGAAATTCAATTTCGTCGATGCCTTGCACTCCGGGCAGAGAACAAAGAGCATGATTGGGATGGGGAGCGTTACCAGAGGGTTATGGGTCTGGGTTGGATAAGCATAATGCAAGGAAAGGCGGAAGTAGGCGAGAAGATCTTGAGGGATTTATTAGAGGATGTTGAAGGATCATGGGGCCCAAACAGTCAGAGAGTCATGCAGGTCGTCTACTACCTGGCTGTGGCGCTAGCATCCCAGGCAAAGTATGATGAGGCAGAGATAATGAGTCGGTGCGCACAAGAGGGGTTCGAGAGGATACTTGGACCCGACCACCCAGGCACCCTAGGAAGCCTCAACCACCTAGCTAATGTGTTGGGAAAACAAGGAAAGTACGCCGAATCAGAGGCGATAAATCGGCGTGCACTGGAGGGGCAGGACAGGATTCTTGGACCAGACCACCCGAACACCCTGTTAAGTGTCAACAACCTGGCTATTCTGGTGCATAATCAAGGAAAGTACGATGAGGCAGAGTCGATGCATCGGCGTTCACTGGAGGGGCAGGACAGGATTCTTGGACCAGACCACCCAGACACCCTGTCAAGTGTCTACAATCTGGGTAATACGCTAAGAGACCAAGGAAAGGACGCCGAATCAGAGGCGATGCATCGGCGTGCACTTGAGGGGCGCGAGAGGATTCTTGGGCCAGACCACCCAGACACCCTGCGAAGTGTCAACAACCTAGCTATTATGCTGGGAGACCAAGGAAAGTACGCCGAATCAGAGACAATGCATCGGCGTGCACTTGAGGGGCGCGAGAGGATT